ACGCAGGACCGAGGGGGAGAGAGAGAGAGAGAGAAACAGAGAAAACTTGCAAGCAAGCGAGGATCCTCCAAAAATGAGTGTCAGCGAGTCCCGGAGAGTTGTGTGAAGTGGCCCGGCCTCAGCCCCTGAACAAGTCAGTGAGTAAAGCGCTCAGAAAGTACACACCAATAGCCTGATAATATCTATCTCCGGAATGATAAATCTGTTTGCCTTTAATCCGGTCTCGGTCGATATTCATGCATTCTAATTGGTTTTATTTATAGATCTGCCGCTTAATGCCATCGGATTGCATCTGCCGGCACATTGACTGGATATTGAGTAGTTTCCAATGAAGCTCACTGTGATTTGCATTCTCTCTTCATCCCCCACTCCACCTCTCCCCCCACCCCGCAAGCTCTTCCTTTATATAAAGCCGGTGGTGCAAGCCGGAGTGTTTATCTCCTGTACAGTATCATGTATTAACCGTTTAAATGCATCAATTATGATGGCTGTCTTCATACGGCCGACGATTAATTACAGACTTTTTTTTTGGTGTGTGAAGTGGCGGAAGTTTGACGATCCAGAAAAGAAAAGTGGTTGAAACTGACATGTCCCCATATCGTGATAGAAAAGTGGGATTTCTGTCCATTTCTCCCCACCCCCACAACCCCCGAAACCGGGACAGATTTGGTTCACCACTTTATCCGCCCCCCACCCCCGCCCCCATTCCCCAAACAAGCATCAGCTTCCCTTGTTTTAACTGGGCTGTGTTGTTCAGCTAAAGTGAAACTCGCTCTGCGTTTGCCACTTTCAGAAGGGCAGACATTAGGAAAGTGAGATCTGTCTCAGTTGTCTGTTCCCCCCCCCCCCCCCCCCACCATTGCAAAAAGGAACAATAACTTAGACTAAAATCTATTCCAACTCACAGAGACACAAATGTGCAGATAATTTGATTCCTCGCCTAAGGCCCGTCGCAAATGAAGACCCAGTTCACTGAATGTTTGTGAAATCGCTAAAATACTTCCTTTCAAATTATCCGACACTTATCTTTTGACAGTCGATAATACTTGAGAATCCAGGCGACTGAATTGCATCGGAGTGGACTGTACGTTTGTTTTTTTTTAAGAAAAGAAGCATAACATGAATATTTTGTGATAGACTTGAGGTATCAGTTTTGAAAATAGATCTTTCATTGGAGAGAGACAAAGATGACAATTGTAAGGAAAGCTACACTTCTTTATCTTTTCGGAGTTGGAATGGGTCCCTCCGAGTAACAGTTTGTCCACTATCAGACCTTGGGACGGGCCAAAATCTACCAAGAGATTGAAATACACCCGCCGCCTCGTGTTATTTGTCGTACATACCGCGCGATTTATCTCTTTTAAAACAAAGAAACGTTTTATTGTAAATCACACTGCTGCAAGTTACGAGATGCTGGAATTTTCTGCACGTATGCGCACTAAAGAATTTTTGAAAGAGTATCAGGAAAGGTTTACAAACAATTGTTTAACCTTGTCCCGGAGCAATCCGTGAAGGCACTGGCCAGTCTGATTCAGGCGGTTGCTGGAGATGAGATCTCGCTGAGGAGAAGTGATGTTGCAGCCTTTTGAGGGCAAGTCTAATTAGCAGAGAAAACATGCTGGCAAAACACAAACCCGTGAAGTGTCTTAGGGGCAAGGCCTGTGCAGCAAATCCTAACGTCCCCACCTCGTTAGATTTAGGCAGGTTCAGATGTACTATGCAGTTCTTACTGTCTCTTTGTAAATTGAAGGCCTGTTTGGTCGAGTTCGGGAATAGAAAGGTGCTTGGAATGACTGAGGGATGAGAGAGTGGTGACCAACTTGTAACCAGGCCCCTGAAATGTAGGAAATCGTTTTTAAATAGGTGCTCTTTTGGCAGAGCGGTAGGCCCAGGAAATCTCTCTCGTTTTGTTTTGATGTTGCAATCAGTGTTTAGAATCTGTTGTCTATTTCGTTTTCACACACACCCCTCCCTAATAAGACGAGGTTTATTCAACGTTAAATCTCTGTCACCTAGCATTTATCGTTGGCATTACAACAACAAAAAAAAGGGCTTGAAAAATTAATCTGGATGTGGTTTTGTGAAGTTCAGATCTTGCTAAATTGTCTCTCTCCGTCCCGCGACACTTAATATCAAACTGGTAAAGGAGGAAAAAAAGACCGGGACGTCACCCCTAGGTCACTGGAAGCCTTTTGGTTCGGTTTGTTTGTAGGGAACTTGCTGTTCCGAATGGAGCTGTCGTTATCCAGTGAGAAGTGACTTTTAGTACAAACAAGCCGGGCCGTGAAATTGGCTATAAATGCACTCTCTTATAGTGGATGTTTGTCCTCAATTTGCAAAGGCCTGATGTGTGTATTAACTGTCCGGAATAGTGTCTACATAAAGTGGGGTGGTGAACGGGGGAAGAGGGGGTGGGGGGTAATACTCAACTTGCGTTAAGTGAGAGGTAAACGGGCGGTCAGTCTGCTGTGAAAACATTGCTTACCTTGGAGGTATAGAATATTAGACGCTGCATAGTATATATGAACCTGCCTAAATCTACTCAGCTTCGTAGTATTTATTTATAAGTGTATATATAATTCACGTGGATAAATATCTACATTTCGGTAAGAATGTATATTATACAGTATGTTTAAATCTACCGTGAACACTAGTCACTTTAGTAACTTGTCGAGTCTTCACTGCTGTATCTGACAAAGTTGCACACATTTATTCCGTGTTTAAGAATCTCTTCTACAGCCTCTGTTGTTACTTTTAACATTCGGTGTATAATTTAGTTACTGGATTTTTTTTACCATTAAAAAGAAATACAAAGAAAAGAGATGACAATTCTCAACATGTTCTTGGGATTGTTTGAAATAAGTACCTTAAGGACAGTCTGGCGTTTACCGTCAACTCCAGCGGGTCATTTAATCCATCTGGAAAGCTCTCAGATCAACAGGTTCCGTTGAATTTTGTTAATACTGTATCGAATAATACGCTTAATTAAATCGGCGGTCATGCACAGAACTTAAAGCTGCAGAAATGGCCTATAAAATTATTTATTAACTTTTGCATTAGAATGTGTTAAGCTCACGCTGTGACCAGTTGACTTAATGCCAATTTCGGAATGCACCGAGGCACACTCGACCCAACTCAATACCTAAAGCCTTCAGCTCACGAAGCTAATAAATCCGTTTTCTTTAAAATTTCTGGCGTGACTCTAAGTGCCTCCAGAACTGAGTTTACGGTTATTTTGAGGGATGGGAGCATCTTTTAGTCGCGGCCTCTGGTGATTTGTTGCCAGTGTCTTCCTTAAAGTTGGTGATACGGTGCGCAGCTTATCTTAAAGAACTGGATGGGAAGCTTCACTTCGCTCCCACCCCCACCCGCACCCTTGCCCATCATCTCAGCCGGTGGCCTTGGCTCTGTCTGCTGGACCTGTCATAACAAACTCGGGCACAAGCCACAAAACGTGCAAAGACACGATCAAACTATCAGAGCGATCGGGACCCCGCACGCTTCAATTCCACCACAGCTTGTTTGGCCTACACTTTGGAGAATGCGGATCATAATTCAATGTACTCCACTCCCTCCACCCTCCACCTCCCCCCCCACCACCACTTCCACACACCTCCCCCGCCCCTCGCACATTTGAACTTTAATTTGGTTGCTTCAAAATATCCACTAAATTAGTGTAAACGTGTCTTTTTTAACGCCACCTTTATCACCTTTTAGTTTAACCGGTTTCTGCGATATGGGCAAAGGCAAAATCGCTTGCCTAAGTCCATTTCGAGAACACTGCCTGGAACTAATAATGTGGAAAAATGGTTTTAATAGTGTATTGGATTGCCCAGTACGCGTCAATATTGTTATTTTGAAGAATTTACGAAATCATTCTGCCTCCTGGGTGTTCTATCGTTGAAGCTCAATGAGAATTAACTACTGAACTGTTAAAAAGCCCGACTAAAATCAGCACATTCGGTAGAAGTCTGTGTAGAAGCGCAGTATTCAGGTCTGAGTCCCTTTGAGCCCCCTGCCCAGTTTGAGCTTCCTTTTGCTGACAGTCCCAAGATGTTGCAGTCGTTATCGCTGAGTGTTGCTCACTGCGCCATCCAGTGGACCATGCCGTAAATACATCACCTTTAATAATGATGTCAGAAACACTTCAAATAAAGCAAAAATCATACCAAAAGGAAACCATTGTGTTGTTTTAAATCATTCCACTCAACCTAACCAACGTGTTTCAGTCTAAATAGCCGTGTATAAAATGTAGCGCGCAGCTTTCCCGGGCGTGGGAGAGCTGTCAACAAGCATGGCTAAGGTTGTAAAATATGATCTTTCTTTAAGGAAGGCCAGTTAAGGTAGTTCCAAATCATTGCTTGTACAAATTATTACACTTCAGGGCATGTTCTGTAAAACCACAGAATATCCTTAAAATGTTATATGGAACTTTGAAAAAAAAAGGGATTTCCACTTACGACAAAGTTAAAATGCGACCTTCATTGACTCAAGGTTTCATTTTTTTGTAAAACTCAATAGTCACATAGTGAATGACAAAGCAGTAGTCTATTAACCCAATGCATTTGTATGTTATATACACAATAATGCAAATGCTTTTTTTTAATAACACGTTCCTTTGAAGCCATTCAAATGATTTTCAGATGTTTTTCGCACCAAGTTGATTCTCTGGTTACAACAAATTATTCACAATGCGAATGGATCCTTTTCGTTCGCAATCGACGAGTTTCCAACAGCTCTGCCTTCGGGACGGTAAAGACTGGCCTGAATCCATGGCAGAGACCGAGGGAGTTCTATGCAGTTTGGAAAGTCGGGGTAGTGCGGTGTGCACAGATTAGCCAGCGTCCCTCTAAATCACCATCAAACCACAACAAAACCCGTCAGACTATAATTGAGGCCTAAAGCCGCACACTCTTAGAGGAAGCGACACATCCGCCGAATGTCAAAACAAAACACAAATATTTGACCATGCTTAGGAAAAAGCGCTCATCGGAATCACCTTTTTCTCGTTTATACGCAGACACATGGGACAATCGTACTCTTTAACCGACGACATTCTGCTCTGTATATGTCCTTCTAGCATTTGGCAGTTTCAGTATTTCTATATCGATTAATCTTTCTACTTAATATCTGTTTATGTCTGTCTACCAATCCAATTATATATACCGTATTTAAGCACGTTACTCCATGAAATTCAATTCCATTTCCCCATTAAGTATCCATTTACTGACACCCCATCCCGTTCAATTGCGCGTTTTATAAACGAAGGATTTCCGGACCATTGTACAAAGTCTGAGCCTCAAATTGATTCTTTTTGTTTCTGTTTGGAATTTTAATTTTTTTTTGTAATCAAGCCCGTGAAGGCATCGATATGCCTGGAATTTATCTTTATTCCCCATATCTTTTTGACAAGCGAATGTGCACAGAACATCATTGGAGTCAGTGTATGTTTCTGACAGAATGAAGCATCTCTTCGACAAATAGCGTTACTTTCAAACAACGTTTAGTGTTTTCGGTGAAGATGCGTCCTCGTGGCGAAACCTGTGAGGGCAGGAGATGTTTAAACTATTAATACGATCCTGCAAAGCTGTGTTGTCACACACACACACAAAAAAGCAAAGAGGTCACTTTTGCCTAACGGGGTTTAGCCGGTGAGCGATTATCGTTTTTAGTAACTTTCATGAATCACACGGTACTCACGAAATGACTGAGGTTATTTATATCAACGACCAATTACACCGAATTTAAACTTAATGATATGCCATAAAAATATTACCGACCTGCTACTTATTTTTATAAATACTGACTGGGACACTTCAATGGGCTTATTTATGTTCAGAGAGGAGAGTTAGGATTCAGTAATACTCTCAAACATTACCGCGTTACCGCCTGCACAGGGAAATATCGATGCAACCTTTTCTATATTCACCAAGACATTAGTCTAACGACTAGCATGAAAAGGCTCCCATTATAAATCTGTTGATTCAGAAACGAAAACTTCTTTGACGACTCCTTCACCTTCCCACTTGTGGAACAGTGAACGAAACAAAATCAGAAAGATGTCATTGCCCGGGACTCGGTAGAAATGGCCCTGAAACGATATAACAGGCATTGTACATGTTAATTCTCCGTGAGTAACGGAGTGGACACAAAAAAAAAACTCTTGGTACATTAGAAACAGAATGTTCGATTGGAAAAAAAACCCAGTAAATTCGCTTTTGTGGATCCAACAACGCAACTATGTCACCGCGCATTAAATGAGCAGGATCAAATAAATACTACAAATTGAGAGAAAATACAAATTACAACAAAAAAGAAACAACTGACTGAGGAAGCTATCCAGTTTGTGTTGTGTCGGAAACCCGACCAGGGGAAACGATCCATCCCGTTTATCGGCAACAACCGGTTCAAAATGTGTCTCAGAGCGGATGCTCTTAAATATATTTCAAGTCTTTAAAATACAAGCTGTAACCTGGTTACAGAACAGAAGAGCTAAACTCCCGGCGTGAATGTTATTCTATTGGTCATACCGTTTCGATAGAACATTTCGGTATATTTTTTTTTGGAAAGCAATATTTTAAATCGGTTAAGGTTTCAGAAAGCATTTGCTTTTAAAAAAGCATGATCTCATATTAAGTCGTGCCTCAATGAACAGCCGCGCTGGAACTAGAGAGAAAACGCGACTGGAAAAGGCGCCTTGGGAAGAGTTCATACAGACTTTAACCATTTCAATCCGATTGCTATAACACAGGAATCCTCCATTTTTCACAGTAATAGAGCGTCAACTCCATCCCACCCCCCAACCAAAGTAAGCCCCTTTGTAACTTGTCTCTGCCCGTTAGGGTGAATATTCCCCAGGAAACTGCTGATAAACTGTATACAGCACAGACAACTCTTTTTGCAAATGCATTCAAAAGACATTAAAAGTAACAGCATTACATTTTCCTAACCAACTGTCCTGCAGTCTAAACTAGACCAAATGACTTTGATTAAACAAATATACCCGATCTACAGTGAAGGTGGGCGTGTGGACTATAGAATTAGGGCCAGCGACTTACAAAGGACTGGCATTTATTCACATCTTTATTACATTGCTGGCGGCCCTGAATTCTCCAACTTCACATTGTTCTGCCCCACAACCCCGTCAACTGTTACTCAATGACATGTTCCTACAATTTGGAAATGGCTAAAATTCACGAGTTAGCATATGAAAGTAAGATCAATCGAGGTTTAATTCAGTGCCTGGATCAGTCCTGACAGAAACTAGTGTTTAATGGTGAATTTTCTGGGTCCAGTCGCTGGGCAAACTGATGTTTAATCGGTTTCTCCGCACATGGAAACTCGTGCCCTACATTTGGAGGCGCAGACCATTCCAGCCTGCTCCTCATGAACTGGCCGGCTGCTTGCTTTGTTGCTCAGGCTGACTTCTCGCTGCCGGTAGAATCGAAAGAGAATTTCTAATCCGGGCCTTAGATTCTAAGGCGAACGCCCCAGGCAAGTTTTGCACTGTTTCTATCTTGTGATCTTCACCGGCCAATTTGAAATCATAGGTAGCATCAAAATAAAGTTTGCAAAGTAAACAGCAAGTATTTTCTTTACAGTTAAGTTTCCAAGAAAATACGAAAGTTTATTGTTTAGCCGTTCGGATATGAATTGTTTACTTCTTTTTCTAAAAGAATTGATAAAGGTTAATCCATAACTGATTCAATGTATGTGTTTTTTTTTAAAGATATAATTCCTGCCTTGGTCAGCGGCGATTGAAATACCTTACATTAATGCATTTTGCAACAATTTGTAAGCGAGCTCAGCTCGGCCCCTGACCCTTGGTCAGTGACCGGGTTTTGTAATTTTGACTCTGCTGCGGGGTTAAGATGACCGTGTGCTTTCAACACTCATTAAATCCCGACTTGTTTTTATTTTAACAACCTCACAGTGGCACGCTGTATTTACCACGACCCAGGCGAGTTGTACCTGCCCCAGCGTAACACACGACCGGGCCCCATCGATACAGGCGGTAGGCCTGAAATCTTTTATCGCTGTACAGATGCCCACTCGGCTGCAACTTGTAACAGGTTTAGTATCTCAGAGGCAGGACTCGAGGCTGAAAGATTACATTCTGTTCGTTTTTAGTAATCTCCAGGCATTCGCCTTGTGCTTACCCAAACTGAGACGGTGTCTTGAAATACCATTGAAATACCAATGCCAACACGTTTTGTTCTAAGCTTGTTTCTGCTATTAAATGAGAAACCATGGTATTGCCATGAAGTCCAAAGCTGGAATCAGACAATATGGCAACAGGAGCTCATCTCTCGGGTTGCCGCAGCCTGCGTCCTGTTGTTTTAAAAGTGTTAACCAGTTAGTCTCGTACCTTCCAACTCTGCAAATTTACACCTTCAAGTATCTTTTATTTTGTAAACTCAATACCTTAGCAAGAGCGTTATCTCGGGTAGAGAGCTAAACATCGGGTTACAAAAGACATCAATGGAATCAGCGTCAAGGATAAACGAATAAGTTTCATAAAGAGTTTTCAATACGGGGTGAGACATCCTTCTCCCAGGTCAGTTTCGGCACGAGTAAAATAGCCTCATCGGTTTTTCTCATTTTGTTCCAAATCAAAGCCCTCATGATTTTTATTGTTTTAGACAAAGTCTGCTTTCTTCATCCAGATCTAAACGAGCCCCAAACGGCACCGCTGCATTCATTAGAATTATTATTAATTGTTAATTAATCCCTAATTAATTGCTGGCGATGATCTTTTATTTGGCAGGGGAAAGGAAAACGTTGCCCCGATGTGATTCTGTTTCGGCCATTAACTTTTTTTTTGCTGGGAAGCAAGACTTTTATTACGAATTCGTTTTAAATCGCCTTTCATTCAAACCCAGTTAAAAACAGAGGGAGGGGGTGTCTACTTTTTATGGTATAATCTCACAGAGAGAAGTGTGAACGAGCTCAATTAGAGTGAGATTCAGTTCCACAAGTTCAACAAAACAAAACCTTTCTCAGTGGATTCTTCACATGACCGGGTCATTACTGTTGTACATAAAGAGCTACACCTTTTTTTGTTAATATTGACCACGCGCTTTCTATCTACCTCGGGGAGAAGTTTCGTCGAAGGAATACTGTGCCGAAGAGTAAATTAGAAAGAAATAAAAGGGGAATGATTTAAAATCATTAACAAAAGCATTAGAGGAGAAGGCGAGGAAACCTGAGAAAACAGATTGTCTATAGCACGGAATAATTCAACCAGAACGAATGGAGACGGAACCCATTCTTTAAAGGTCAGGAGAGTACATATTGCTGGGAAGAGGAAGACTTACAGGAGTAAGTCCTGGCGGAGGTATCTTGATGCATCAAACGGCCTCCTTTAGTACTGCGAAATTCTGTCTCTAATCTTTCTTTGTCGAGATGTGATTAGCGTTCTAGCCTGATATCGATAATGAGGACAATCTGAAAAGCCAATTTCTTAAAGTGCCAAATAAGATTAGTCGTTTGAAAGCAAAATATGGCGGAATTATGACTGAAACGTTTTTTCCTTGCAAACCCGCGCTGGCTACTGGCCAGTTCTTGGGATTGGCGATCGGGCCTGGCCGGCTCTTGCTACAAGTTGTTTGTTGCTTTCAGTTTATAGCGGCCGAGAAGGGGCTCCTACAACTCTTGTCATCCGACTCTTAGCTTTGGTCTGTTTTAAATCAAACAGGGCACTCATCACTCGCTGCTGACATGCACGCATTTGTTGACAATCCATTGATATTCATTGTGGCATATAACCTGGTCTATCTGAAATCGTTATTGCACAGGCTTGCAGACACCTTGCAAAAAAAAAACTCGGGGGCAGCCTCAATCCGCAGTGAAACCTGTTCCAATCACAGATGATAACAAGGTGTAAGAGCTGGAAGAACACAGCAGGCCAAGCAGCATCAGAGGAGAATCACAGATGAACGGTTGCTATAACGGTTGCTGTTTACTTACAATGACTCAAGGAGTTTCACACTGTTTTCATGCAATTGCATCGTCTTTATGAATAAATCCTAGACGTTACAGCAATCTGGAGATTTGACATCAATCAGTTCAGGCAAAGGCTGAGGTGAAATCTCTGTGGTTTGTCACTCAGATCCCACCTCCCACCCCCAGTGACAGCGAGGGCACCTGTGAATGCTCCAATCTTTTCCAACTCCCTCACTTCCTTCCTGCCCCGAGGAATTGCTCCGCTTCGTCTGCTCAACTCACTTAAACTGAATCAATAAACAAAGTGTGTGTAAAAAAATGTTGAAAGTAAATATCGTCCCACTTACTCTCCAAACACGCAATTAACCCTGAGTTTCCTGCAAGCACTTTGATTTGACCACTTCTCCATTCACTCACTTGGAGCGGATCGTTCCTGTTCCTTGTCTTGGCTTTTTGAACGTGGTGGACAGCGACTTGGCTTTATTTAAAACATGTAAATAAAGGTTCAAACAGCTACCTGAAACGGGAGGACGTCGGGCATGAAGAGAGGTGAAAGGGTGCGCTTTCACATTTAAGGAATGAGCAGAAAACATAAATTCTGACCTCATTCAGATGCATTGCAATGTTCGTATTAAAATCGCCAATAAGCTTCACATAGAGACTCAAGCACGAACGCTCTACACATCGGAGCACTTCTCTCCAAAGCACTGAGCAATGCTTTAATGTTTGCCTCATTCAGACAAGAATGTGAGAAATATAAATTAGAGGGGGCCAGTGGAAATGATCTCCATGCCATTCTAAAGATCGTGGCTTACCCTCTTAAACCTTCTACTGTCCCTCCATTTCTTTGATCTTCAAAAATCTGCCCTTAACGTACTCATGAGCACTGACATCTCTCTGCGCGAATGTATCCCAACCATTCGCGATTGTCTGAGTCAACATTTCTATTCATCTTGCAAGATTGTGAATGGTTGGAAGCCATTTCCCCAGAAAGCTGCCAATGATCAATGGATAAGCAGATAAGGTCTCACAAAACCCTTAAATAATCTTAGCATGTCTTCTTTACAGTTTTCAACCGTTTTCTGTGGTGGAATAACCCTTTTCGTAGTTTCTAAACAGGGCATCCAGCTTCGTCTGAGCACCAATATTTCCCAGGATAAAGATATTACACTTTGCATTTATTTCTACCAAAATTGATTACTTCACTTTTTTTCCATATTATTTTCAATCTGTAACATTCGTGCTCACTCAATTAATCTGCCTATGTCCCTTTGCAGCTTTGTCACATCCTCTTAGTGCTTTCTTTCCTGCCAGGTGTTGCATCATCTGCAAATTTGTGTATATTACACAAAGCTTCCTCATCTAAAACATTGGAGTAAATGTCAATGACTCACAAACAAAACTGCAAGAAAATGCCTCTTCATCTCACGGGCATTCTGAAACAATGAACCCTAGACCTTGACACTGAGCTGTCCAAGCATTGATCCTTGAGGTATCTTACTAATTAAAACCTGTCAACCCAACTGATGGCCCAATTATTCTTAGACTTCATTTTTTGTCTGATAACCAATCGTCAACTCATGGCATTGTATTACCTTCAATCCCCTTAATCTTGTGTCATAAACTGTTGCAAGTCACTTTATTAAATGCTGTTTGAAAATCCTCCATAGCTACCTTGTTATGTACAAACTCAAAAAATAGATTTCCCTTTCATAAATCCATATTAGCCGTGACCAATCACAATATGGTATTTTAAATACTCTAATACCACTTCCTTAATTTTTTTTGATAATTCTAGCATTTGCCTTTTACTAATGTCAGACTATTGGCCCAATATTGTACTGTACCTTTCCTCACTCTTTCCCTTAACAATGGAGTTATGTTTAGTGTCTTTCACTCTATAAATACCATTATAAAAACTAGGAAATTCTGAAAGATCAAAATTAAAGTGCTCATTACCTTGGTTTTCAACTTGAGAACGTAAGCCTTCAGGCTCAGAGTATTTGTTTACATGCTAAGATGCTTTCTGTATTCATATTTGTCAATTGGTAAGTCATTATTTTGGATACTAGGGCTCAATGAAATTACAGATGGAAACAGGGTCTCAGTCCTCATAATTTGTAATGATGAGATCAGTGTTTCAACATCATGAATACAATGGAACTGAAGACCTAATCGTTATCCATAGTGACTTTCTGAATTATGGTGCAAAAATTGTATAGATAAATGAGATTCACTGTGATACTAAATATTTCTGTGAGATTTATTACAAAGGTTTGATGAGATTCAGTTCACACTGAAAGCAGTTGTTCAGGTGGATGCTGTGAGATGAGTTTCTGAACAGCACTCACTCCATGTTGGGTAGTGAGAGAGGTTACATCAAATTAGATGTGAATGAGGAAGAGGACCTCCCCAAACCCTGAGTCTGTCAAGTGCGCATCATTAACGGCCAAGTCCGCTGTCCTGTTACCTATCTTATTCAACTGTAAAACTTCTTGGGCTATGTGCCTCAACGAATGTACGTTGTAAGTAAAGATTATTGAAAAAAGAAATGAGGCACCTCAGAATGAAACGTGTTATGTTTTATTATGGATTGCACTATTTGTAAGTTAAAATTTATTGCCCCTGGGCTGCATAAATTAGGTTGGATGTATTTGCAAATTATGAAGAATGTTACAATTGGACAAGTTGAATATTCTTACAAATCCTGTAATTTTCAAGTTGAAATATTTGTATAATTTTTTTTGCTTGCGAATTTTATGAAACAAATATGTTTTGGAAAATAAATCTTCCTTACAGAAATGTTGTTCCATTAAGAATGTGAGTAAATTCAAAAACTGGAAAAGGTAATTATTTATATCTAGCATTTCAAATCCCTAACATGGTAACTAGTTAAATTCTAAATAATATAATGTTTTGTATCAATAAATACGTTTGGAAAAATATAACATTTTTCATGCTTTTAGTAAAGAAGTTTTTCATACTTTCAAAGTTTATTTTTCGTCATTTCTATTAATGTTATTTTATCATGTAGACTTAGTTCACATTAAAGTTATGGACTTTTGATGCTCATATAAAGAGAAATGCTACATAGATTAAATGACTTGTTTCTTTGTGATAACACTAAGTTTCAAATATGAGTTCGAGAGTTCCTCTAACTGTTCCAATGTTTTAAGAATTGTCTATTGTGCATAAATACATATTCTGATGGAAGAGCGCTATTATAAAAATGAATAAACAAGGCACAATATCAAACCAATTTAAATGTTACACAGTCCAGATCACTTGGGAACTATTAACATGTTGTATAAGAGTTCAACTTTTCTGTATCATACAGAAGCCAAAAACATTTCAGAAATATGGGTACAAACCTATGAATTCTGTGTCTTTCTCTGAGTGGAGAGTTAGTTTGAATATTAACTTAAGGGAAGTGATGGCCTAGTGGTATTATCACTAGATTGTTAATCCAGAGACCCAGGTTCAAATCCCAACTATAGCAGATGGTGGAATTGGAGTTCAATTTTAGGCGGCACACTGGCTCGGTGGTTAGCACTGCTGCCTCACAGCGCCAGGGACCCGGGTTCGATTCCAGACTCGGGCAACTGTCTGTGTGGAGTTTGCACATTCTCCCTGTGACTGCGGGGAGTCCAAAAGATGTGCAGGCTAGGTGGATTGCCCATAGTGTTCAGGGATGTGTGCGTTATAGGGGGATGGGTCTGGGTGGGATGCCCTAAGAGTCGGTGTGGATTTGTTGGGGCGGCACAGTGGCTCAGTGGTTAGCACTGCTGCCTCACAGCACCAGGGACCCAGGTTTGACTCCATCCTCGGGCAACTGTCTGTGTGGAGTTTGCACATTCTCCCTGTGTCTGCGTGGGTTTCCTCCGGGTATTCCGGTTTCCTCCCATAGTCCAAAGATGTGCAGGTTAGGTGGATTGGCCATGCTAAATTGCCCGTAGTGTTCAGGGATGTGTAGCTTAGGTGGGTTATAGCGGGCTGTGTCTGGGTGGGATGCTCCAAGGGTCAGTGTGGACTTGTTGGGCCAAAGGGCCTGTTTCAACACTGTAGGGATTCTATGATTCTATTATCATCCCCATGTAGAACATTCCTGATTACTTTAAACTAAATGATCATTTAAAACATAACTGTCTTACAATGCCCTGCATTCATAACATTCTGTATTGGTATAAAATTTTGCTTGGTACATGTGTGAGTCTTTCTGAAGTGCATTGTAACCTAAGTGCACCAACTCAATGTTGTGTAGTTCTTTATAATGTTAACTAGAAATAATCAATACATGTGTATCCTTACACACATAATGTACATGCAATTAAACATTTTGTGCCATCCCACAAATTTTATCACACCTTGTCATGATAATTTGGTCTCAGTTTTCTGTCAACACTTGAGGCGGTAAATTTCTATGTCAACATTTTACGTTTGATGTTTGTTAATTCAACAGTCAGAATGTAATTGCAGCTCATGTCCATTAAGTGGCTCTGTGGACTGCATGGCTGAAGATTTGTCCCCAAACCCTTCACAATTTTATGTATTGGAGGCAACACAGTATTGGTGATTCAAACATTCTATTTAGATACATAAAGGTATAATGATGATGTGAGTAATCAGATGATGCAATTACTTTCTTAATCACTTTATGACAAAAAAAGTAACCATGCTAAAAAGCTTTGACCCACAGCGGATATAATGAAAATATAATTACAATTGGCGAGCATAATTTTGCACCACCAAATACTGGACTGTCAGAAAGAAACGCACTCATGTGGAGACAGTTCTTACTCAAGTTGTTATATATACTGTGGATCTTTGTTGTATGCTGTAGATTGCAGAACAAAAACAACAGATATCATCAGATTTCCTATTAAAAGGAAAACGTAAATTACAATTAAGTAATAGGGACCTGGAGATGATTTGCATGCATCAGAGGTCTTTGTTAAATCTGCATGCACCTCTAAAAACAACTGGGCAGTAACATTGCATTGACACAGCTATTTGACCTTTACTCAACATAATCAAAGCAAATCAAGTTACTAAACACTGCCAAATAGAAACGCAATCATATTGGGCTCATAAATATTCATTGATGTGAATAATCAGACAATCACTTCCACCATTCCTAAATTAAATCAAACTCCAATTTCAGAAATGATCAGTTCTGGAAAAATGTTACTTCTACAGTGTACAGTTCCATTGGGCTGCAAATCATGGCTTCTGCTTATTTCACAAAAGAATAGAAATTACTTCTGAATGT